ATTAATTCGAGAATATTTATTAAAATCTTTTTAAAATATTATCATTATATTTTTGATTATATCAATTTTTAAATATTTTAAAATTATTTTTTTAAATAAAATTATTTTATATCATCCGGAAAAATACAAATTTTAAATAATTTTATTATTTTTTCTTTTTTTAATAAATTATATATATAAATGTAAATTTTTATACATTAAAGAAAAGATTATAAAGATGTATTATTGTTATTGTATATACATAAGAGGTATAGAGAGAGAAAAACAAATTCTAGGTTTTCAAAAAAAAAGAAGAAAAATAATGTTAAACAAATCTACATATCTATAAATTTATAAGTAAAATAAACAAAGATCCAATTTAAACATCCTTTTCTAAAATCAAAAATAAATAAAGAAAAATAATGCAAAAAAAAATATCTAAAGTGGAGTGTGAGCGTATAAATTTATTTAACAAAATCGATACAGACATTTGTTCACCCAACATACTATTTACCATAAAACAAATCTACTTACATTTCGGATCTGGGAATTAATGTAGTAAATTTAACACGAACTCAAGCATATAATGAACTGACGTAAGAGTTATCCTTTATACAGAATACATTCTTAAACTAACACGAATAGAAAATTATATTATTATTATTATATATTTTAGCCTCATTCCATTTCTGCAATTGTTTTGTTTATATAACTTTTAGTTTCAGTAAATAAAAAATCCACTTGGAATTTTATAAAAGTGTAATGCGCGTCATAGAAATCGGTTAAAAGTATTAGAAATGCTAGAAACCGAGAAAACTGATTCCCACATCAACAAAATAGATTAAGGATCCTACAGTATTTGTCCTTATTCTGACCATCTGGTGTGTCAAGACATGAAAGTTTCATCACTATACTTCTACTAGAAGCCCAGAGCGAATTCTGATGTACACAAACATAAATACATACAGTTAAAATAAGAAAATATTCACTATATTTAACACTTTACTCTTGTATTTAAATATAAATTATGTTTATTTATATAAAATTATTATTATTATTATTATTATTATTATCATTATTTTTTTAATAGAAGAAATAAAGTTTACTATCAGTTGTTAAAATATTTCGATGAATTCTATTGCCAAATACATTTACACTAATGGTAAAACAGACTTTATGTTTTCGTATCACGCACATTTAAGTATGAGTGAAATGCATTTCGTGATATCCGGAATTGTATTTTTTCTTTCCTTCTTCTGTTCATGTATTTAGTTTATCTGTATTATAAAATGCGAACGTAAAAAAATAAAGAATAAAATTTGTAAATAATAAAAAAATATGCACTTGAAAATATAATTTTTTTCCTCCCCTGATGTTCTATCGATATTTATAACTTATACAGTTTTCTTTTGTAATTAACACTACTTTAAATGAGGTAATAATTACTTAAAATTGACGTTTGAAAAATTGGATATAGATAATGATATAGGAAATTTAGTAAGGATATAAAAGCAATTATTTTTGTAGATAATTACAAGAAACCGCAATCGATAAATTAAGGGTAAGTAATTAAAGTTTCGAGTACGTAAAAGAACATCCTTTTTTAAAAAAAAAATTCAATTAATTGTAAAAATTTAAATTAGTGATAGAAAAATGTATTCATATGTTAGGCGTATTCGTATGTATATATTTAATAAGAAAATCTAATAAAATATTATATCCTATTAACATATTTCCCTACATCGTTTATCGTTATCGTGAAGTTTAAGTGATAAGCTAGCTTGATAAATAGTTCTTGCTTATAAGCAACTATATTAAAATTTTTCATCTTTTTTTTATAATAAAAAATATAATATGATGGAAAGTGGAATTTTTATAATTATTTGTTTAAATAAAGATTTATTTCTTACTTCAAAATTAAAGATTTTTAGTGATGCTAGTTGAGAATGATGCATCGTTGAGAATTTAAACGTTTAATAAAATTAAACAAAATAAAATATGTAAAAATATAATGAAATTTAGAAGAAGATAAACTCTAAAAATAGAAGATATATTTGGTTTTATTGTAGATATAATTAAAATTTATGAAAAATGCGAATATTTCGTCAGNACCTCGAGGGATTTTTGAATATAAAGTATTTTTAATAAAATAACTTTTCCTTAGCATTAAACAGTAACACATTCCAAGAATATAATTCAAGACGAATTTATTATTTAATATTGACATTCCTCTGTGGATATTCTTGAATATAATGAATCAATCGGTAAAAGGTTAAGACTGTGTAGTTAAGGAACAACTTTTCCTCAAGTAGTAGAGGATATTGCTGAAAAATATAAAATTTATACCAGGAAAAATGTAAAATATTAGTCATTTATTGAATTGAGAATCAATTTATTTATTTTTAGTCACTCACGAGATACATTTAGTCCGTTATTTTATTTTATAAAAGTAGGAAAAGTGAAGATGCTCTTTAAATTGCACATGCATCAAAACTTTTAAATTGTAATGATGCAAGTGCATTAACCGTATCGACAATGTCAAGGAAGAAGAATCCATTGTTCTCTAACTAAAACACTAAAGAGATCCAGATAGGAAAAAGACAGGTATTAGAGAGTGATAAGAGAAAAGAAGGTGAAGATGAAAGTAGAAACATGTAAAAGGTTACTTGCGGTGGAAATCCGAGGCTGAAAACTGTTTCTTCAACGTGGCGGATTATCCTGATTAAGGAGAGAAGAAAACCTTTTTCTTAAAAAAAAATAAGTATAAAAAGCTAGATAAAAACAGAAAATGCCAGATATAAAAAAAAGAATGTGTAATGCTTCACGCCCGTTGTACTCATTATCTCTTCTCGCTCTACTTGGCCTAGAAATAAATTAGCTATCAGTGTCCACAAGGAGAATAGAAGTGTGTAAAGAAGAGGAGGGAAGGACAAACAAAAAAAATTCTCTTTAGGATATAATTCCATCTATTTAGTACAATTATGCTTCTTTATTCATTTCCAAATGTTTAAAATTAATTTCCTTCACAGTTTAGTCGAATGTTCATAAAAAGAAATTTATCTACCTGAATTTACCTCATATTATGATTTTTGCAATAAAATATCCTCTCAGATTTCTTGTAACATGCTTAAATTAATATGTTTAAATTTAAAATAATTTAATAAATTTATTAATAAAGAATTAATCTGTAGAAAAATTTATCTATTCGTACACGTGAGAACGAAAAATTTTGTCAAAGAATTAATTAAAGTCAACGTAATTGATGCATACGATACTAATTAGAACAAATATTAAAGTACAAAACAAATATTTTATTTGTGAAAAGTTTAAGAGACTCGAAAATGCTTTTAACCTCGAGGGATTTTTGAATATAAAGTATTTTTAAAGATAGAAAAATCGTATTGAGATATTGTACACTTCTTATTATGATTCATTACGAGAGTAAAATTTTAAAAAATATATATATATTTTATATAATGATTACCCTTAAATCATTTTTGACGAGAGAATAATATTACAGTGCTGTGTTTAGTCAACTATATTGGATGTTGTACTTACGAGATCGAATTATATAGTAGGTGGACCTCCTTAAAATGTAATGGCTTTGTAGGAAAATGCATGGTGGAAAAGATTTAGATCTGCCCTCAAGCGGTTTCGGATAGCTTTTGTTGTAAAATACTAATAACGGTATATAAGATAAAGAAAAATTTCTTTCTTAAATATACTTCTTAATGGCTCTTCTCTGGTAAGAAGTTTTCTTGTAGTAGTTTCGTTCGATATGAGCTGATGTATAATATCTTTAATTATAAGACAGAAACAGATATGTTTGTTTTTCCGATGAAAACACATCCTATTTTGCCTTATAAATATAGAATTATTAATTTTAAAATTTCAGCTTTAGTTTATTATTTTTTACTTCGCTTACTTTAGATAATGAGCTACTAACAATACGGATATTTTAGATTGTAAAGCTGATTGAAGGGGTCATTTGTATATAGGATACGTAAAAATCACGGCAGGGAATAATTTCGGCCATTTTGCATTATGAACAGAAGCAATTATTAAGGAGAAAAAACTAGAAATGAAGTAAAATTATATACTCACCCAAAGCACGAAAGGCAAATAAAGTCAATTGAAAGAAGCAAGCGATGACATCCAGTAATTTGCACGAACGACGGCCCATTCCGTCCCGTTATGAACAGCACAGCACGATAGATAAGGAAACGAGAGCTAGGACACTGTGGGGTGAATAAGCGACACAAAACTTAGCCAATTCAGGACTTTCTCTTAACTCCCCCTTCTCACTTTCCCAGCCTCCTGGGTACGGATAAAATCCGTGTAACACAAGTTCGCCTTCCACTCGTCTATTGGCACAGCAGTAGAACTGGAGGAAAGCGACCTCTTCGTGGTTGCCAACGCATAACTCTCTCACTCTTCCACTCCTCGATCGAATCGTAGCAGGACTGCTCCACTAACTACGGAGGGAGGAAGATGACGATGCACTCGATATCGTCATCGCTATCATTTCGTCATCTGTTCAGATTTTCTAAGGCTAGTATATGCCAAATCGTTCCACTTTAAAACCAAAAGATGAAAGGGGTGAAAAAGTAACTTCACGTCGAGAACTTACGTATTATGGCCATCTCCCATGGCGGTTATTTAATAGCACATTTACGCCGGTGTAAATATCGTTTCGCTACTGATAGCAGATGCTTTTAATGGAATTTGTAGAGTAATTGATAAGATAGCAATATATGACGAGAAAACGTGTGAAGAATTTTAAAAATTACCAATGTCAGAATCTGATTTAATGTAGCTGCAAGCTCGTGTAATATACAGTTAAAGCTTACATCTAATGCTCCTTACCCGTAAAGAACATAAATGGTTAAGCTTGAGTAAAATCTTATGTAAATCAGTTTTATCTTTAATCTTTCGATCGTTTCATTGATTGACTCGTTAGAAACGTTTTCTAGACAGATATATAAGTTTATAAATGAAAATTTTTGATGAATATGTAGCAAAACTCGACTTGTCAGTGGAGGAACAGTTTAAAAAATGGTTTTGACATTAAAAGAAAGAAACTAATATTTTATTGCGTGGAGAATTTTCTGCAACATGCGACTACAACATTATATATATATAGGCCTATATAAAAAAATAATTTACACTCGTCGCAATATTGTTGTATTTTAATGCCTTTTTTAAATATTAAATATTCTTCTTACTTAAGTTCTTGTTCTTTATAAAAAAAATCAAATATAACCTAAACATAAATATTTTTTTTGCATAATTTAAATTGGAGAAATTTACATATAAAATCTATTTGCATGAGGATAGAAAAAGAAATATTAGTGGATATTTATAGAAACAGATTTTGAAATGAGTTTAATAAGAAAATAACCGAGTGACTTCTGTTAATCGTTTCCAATATCGCGTATTGATTTGTGTTAACAGTTGCAGAATTTTGGCATCGGACCAGTTATGACACAAGCTGGTGAAGCGACAGGCCAGTTAGTCAGGGTTGTCACCAAACACTGACACTGTCTCTCGGAGAAGGTTAATGAGATATTTGATCTGTGGGTAAGGAAGCAATGCTGCAAACACCATATGACACCGCGCTTTATGGTTCGTATTGTGATTTACTACCTTACTGCTACCTGATCCATTGGTAAAATTTACAAATCCTTACAGTTATCGTTTAAATAGGATTAAGAACGTGGTCAGGGAAAAACTAACGACTTTCTCTTTTAACTTGATGATCCATGGCGTCGATTAAGTTTGTATAAAATTTCGATTTTTACCCCGATAAGAGGAAAGAAATAGTATTTTTCTAAAGACAAACCGGAAAAGAATTGAATTATATCGACTTTCTTCAATTGCCTTAAAAATGGGAAATAGTAAAGTGATTTAAACATTACAATCTTAATCGATATAATGGCTGTTTACTGCTACAGGACATGAAACAAGCAGTGCAAACTTTCAAACAAAGACTATACATTTATCACAGCTATTCATTACTCTTTATCTTAGATGATTTACCATGTTTATTGTTTCATTAAAGAAATTTAATTTGAATTAAATACTTATACAGAGAGCTAAAGTTTGTTGGGAGGATGTTGAAAGCTGAGAAGAATGAAATTCAATCACTCTCTCTCTCTTTCTCTCTCTTTGATAACACTAAAGATCACTCAGCTGTTAAATTTTCCACAAGTTTATGATTACTTTGCAAATATTAATTTCCAAACTTAATTTCTATAATAATTAATAGACTCCACGTTTAATTTTTTAATTGAAAAAATAATTATTATTTTTATCATTTTCTAACTTTAGAGGAATTTTTGTATTTTTGTATAAACTGATCCTAAAAATAGGAATTACATATAACATTTGTATTATTACATTTCAATGAAAGAATTAAGTTATAAATACGCTATAAAACATCTACAGTTGCTATAATAAAACATCTATAATGTTTTGTTTTTAGTAACGTAAAATTAGACTAAATTTAGCAAAAGCTTTAAGTTAAAAACATAAAAAAATTAATATATAAAAGAGTTTTAAAAATAAATGCAATATTTTATTATAAAATACATCTCACTATCAATTTTAATGACAAAATTTCTAAGAAATTTTAATGGAGTTAACTAATTTAGATCAATTATTGCCGTGTAGTTTTTATATATTCGAATGTGATTAAGATTTAATTTATTTCCTAATTAACTTAAAAATGTGGACAGAAATTATACAATATAGTCAAAACTTTATCACGTGATATAGATGTGACAATGTAAGATGTCGCAATTATGAAACAAAAGAGATGATATCGATATTCTGCAAAATATCACGGGAATTTTTGATAAACATTTAATTAGAAAAGACAGCTGTTGATAGAGAAAATATTCATCTGTTAAAACGGATTTTCATCTAAGTAATTTTAACCATTTATGGGAAACAGCTAATTAGTAATTTCCAAAGAGATTTCCTTCTACTTCATTCGTTGATATGCACCGAGTAGTTTTTAATCAAGAGGAGTTAAAAGTAACATCAATCACAAAAGTGATTGGCCTTACCTTGTTAGAAAGGATTACTAGAAAATAGCACAGCACTTTGGATGGGAGTTTGGCAAAGAAGGAACAACTTTTACTTAATTACAAGGATTTGTTACAAGTGAACTATGATTCTAACATATCTCGAACAGGTATCAACTATTCATACATCAATTTATTACTGTCGTTTCCCGAACAGTTTTTAATCTTCTTCAAAATGTCGATTTAAAAAGTATTTAGAAGTATTCAGATATTCTTCATGTTTTGGCTAATTTGAAAAATTATAACTTCAAAAACGTTGATTTTCAATTTATATTGTATATTTCTTTATAGAGTCCTCCTCTTTGCCAGGGGGTCTTTATATAAAAAATGGTATTGTGAATGCAAAATATGCAAAATGCATATTTATGTTTCTTTAGTATAAACTACAGAAAAGATAAAAACCCAGGTGTGGCCATTTATGTATGCATATATGTAGATTATGTTTTAAAATGCCAGGTTAAAGAGTGTCTCGAAAGTCAATTAACCGTGAGAACTTCTGTAACAGCCTATAAGACAATTTAAAAACTAATTATAAATTAATTTGTTAAAGCGTTGTAATTTGTATGTTGACCCCAAAAAAATAATTTTAAATAATTGTAAAATTTCTAAGTAATAAAGTATTTGAATAATTTGACAATTTACTCTTTAAATAGTTTATATTACAGGTTTACCCAACTTGTACACAAACATTATCGCAAATACGTAAAAGAATACTTGAGTAGAGAATATAGTACAAGTAATATTGATATATTGAAGAAAAAATTATCATTTTAATTACGATTATTATCATAATTATTACTTAAAACCTATATTCAATTAAATAGAAGAAGTTAGAAATGCTACCAAACATAAAATATTAATGAAAATATGTTCAATAAATGAATTATTAATAAATAAAATAATCTGAGAAGATCATCGTGAAATCATAAATGAATAATTGAAGGAGTTCCTAAAGTTATAGATAGTTCTCTGTCAAATATAGAAGATAAGAAACCTGGAAAATCTTAACAATCAGATTACATATAAATCATTTTTATTTTTCAATCGATCTTCGTTTAAATTTAGCATAAAATTTAAGAAAAATTTTATATTTATTCGAGATATTTTTATATATAGAAACTTTATTACTTAATTTAACCATAATACCACATATTCTAATCACTAAATATGTTTTCTATATAAAAATTTCACTAACAAAAATAAAATTCAATGTTTAGACAATTAATCTGTAACAGTATATTTATTAATTATTCTGTTATTTATTTAGAAAATAATTACCCTTGAGTAGATTAAAATCTTTACGAGATAGTTGTTAATTATTTAATATTTGTAGTAACTTGAGTTAACTTTGTCGAAAGCTACTTCATTAATAATTATTGGGAATGCTTTCAACACTAGTTGTAAATAATAACTGTCAGAAGTTATAGAATAAAGTTAGCATAGCTTGCAGTAACGAAATATTACAGTTCATATGGAAAGTAATCATCATCAGAAAGTTTCTTTCTTATATTACCTTACTATTATTTTGTATCTATCTTTATATATCTGCTGCTAATGCTGCTAAATTCTTTATTATTATGATTGACATATATTTCCAACATAGTTATCTTATAGGTGTGCAACTGGAAAGAAACCTGAAAACATTCTGTTTCCAGATAACGTGGTGCTTCACCATTCTACACTCTTATCTTGTCACATTCTTGTTTATAATTTATTATTTTATTTTTCGTTTTTTATCGGTTTCTTTTGTTATTTTATATTGTTTATTTATGTATTTTTTCACAGTTTAGCATTGTACAACACTAAAACAACTTTAAAACTATTCATTACTATAAAAACTCTCTATTAGGGACATTAAAACATTTTTTTTCAATTTAATTTTAATATTTTTCAAGCTTTTAATCTTTATATATTAAAATTAGATTTATGTTGAAATATATATAATTATTTTAGTTTATTGTTAACAAGCTTATTTAAGAATGAATGATATAAGATACCATTAACTAACTAATTAATAATTTTAATGAATTTTAATATTAAATTATATTATTATTCTCTTAATTGCTTGAAATAATGGAGGTTTTCCTATTCTGCTTAAGAATTCAATTAGATGATAAGTTATAAGCTAGGTTAAGTGATGATAACAATTTACAATTAATAAATTTCTCAATAGTTACACGAATGATAGAAGTCTTTCTCGTTATATGAGACACGTTGTTATTTTTTTCCTGCTACAAGAATTTAACTTTTGTCGAAAATTTAAAATTCTTTTCAACATTAACCATTAAAATACCAGAAAAGTACATTTGATG